TGTTCCTTCCTATTTTTTCTGCATATTTGAGCGCACACACACATACATATATATATATATATATATATATATATATATATATATATATATATATATATATATATATATATATATATAAAAAAATATAATTTTAAAATATATACCCAGTATTAGAGAGAGTGCATGTAGGTATAAAAGTAGTTGTCAATACCAAATGGCGACACTGTTTCAAGCTTAAATTTAATCTTTATGGAAGATGGTGTTCAAGGATAAAACAGACTGTCGCCTCTCGGTGTTAACAGCTTAGTACAGTTTTGCATATATATATATATATATATATATATATATATATATTTGTTTGAGTGTGTGTATGGCGTGAGTGGAAGTGTGTATGTGTGCGCGCGCGTGTGTGCGTGTACCCGCGTGTGTGTCCATATATGTGTGTTTGACTGTGTTTTATTGTATATGCGTGTGGGATTCTCTATACATGAGTGTGTATTCACTCGATGAAAGATGAGCTGCAAGGGAATGCGAGATAAAAAAAACAAAAAAAAAACAAAGTATGTTTTTTTCATATTTTCAACGGAGTTCAGATATAATATCTTGTCTGAAGAAATTCCTGGGAATTCTGCCAAAAGAGAGAGCACTAGATGTTTCAGTCAGCGAGGTCAAAGGAAATGGTCAAGCGAATACGTCTCTGTAGGAAAGGAACCAAATGAAGGACGTGTAGTGGAAGGAATTGGTCCATCAAGATGGCTATGATTGTCCACCTGAAATATTGTAATTTATAAGCTGCTTCACAGACCGTAACGGATATTTGTCATTTACACAATTTCCCTTGGTAAATGTATCTTTATTTGATCAGAACGAGGTAGACAGATTAATATTTTATGAGAATATATGTGTGTGTGTCTGTTTGTGTGTGTGTTTGTGCGCGTGTGTTGTTATAAAATTGGAATAATTCGTGATGATAAAAATGAAAAGTTAAAATCAATGACAGTGCTTAATGCGTGAAAGAAAAATTTAAGATCATATTAAAAATGCCGAAAGAAGCATTGCAAAAGAGAACAGGTGAAAGAAGAGAGGAAAAACTGAATAGGAAAAGAAAGAAAGAAAGAAAGAAAGAAAGAAAGAATGCTAAGAACAAAAGAAACAGAAAGAGCGACAAAAAGAGAGGAACATAGTAAAAAGGAAGAAAGATTAAGAAAGAAAGAAAGAAAGAAAGAAAGAAAGAAAGAAAGAAGAAAGAAAGAAAGAAAAAATGCTAAGAACGAAAGAAACAAAAAGAGAGACAATAAGAGAGGAACATAGTAAAAAGAAGGAAGGAAAGAAAGAAAGAAAGTAAGAAAGAAAAATGTTCCGAACAAAAGAAACGCAAATAGCGAAAGAAAGAGGCAAACGGAAAAAAAGAACGAAAAATCCAAAGAAAAGAAAGACAGAGGGAAAGAAAGAATGCGTGAAAAATGAGAAAAAAAGATCGGAAGACGTTATGAGCGAAAGAATGGTAAATGACGAAAGAAGAGAGTAATATTGAAAACAGACAGAAAGAAAGAGGATAATAATGAATAAAAGAAAGAGGTTAAGAGCGAATGAAAAAAAGAGTGAGTTAAAACACGCACAAAAACGATATATCCAAAGTAATATGACTATCGATAGATAGATAGATAGATAGATAGATAGATAGATAGGAACAAACATAGATAGATAGATAAATAGATAGGTAGATAACAACAAACATAGATAGATACATAGATAGATACATAGATAAATAGATAGATAGATAGGAAAATAGATAGATAGATAGATAGATAGATAGATAGATAAGAACAAACATAGATAGATAGATAGATAGATTTAAAAAGCAAGATAATTTTGCACATTATATTCTTCTAAAATCTGAAGGGCATTTAAAAGGAAAATGATGAAACAAAAGACCCAAGACTGAAAGCGAAATCTCCAGCTCTCATTCTTTAGAAACCATAATCGTTTCTGTCCCCATCATTATTTTTATTCTACAAAACATGAACCATCTTATCATCTCAGATTCCTCAACTGGAAGAAATTGAGTTATAAGAATCGTGACCAGTCGACGCCAAAACGATAGATTTTCCAAGAGATGAGCAATATAATTATTATCATGAGTTTTTCTTTGTGTGTGTGTGTGTGTGTGTGTGTGTGCGCGCGCGCGTGCGGAGGCTATCATCTCGCTTCACGGCTAATCGAAATGTCAACTATCTCCAATGACAATTTTCAAGGTTGTTTTGTGTTTGTATTTTATTTTTTCAATTGACTATTTTTCACACACTACTAGCTCGACACATTCAATTATCGCCACATAGTTTTTTACCGACTTAATTACAGATATTTCGTTAACATGACTTCTTTACCTCTCTTCCTTGGTACCTCGACAGCATGAATTTAAGCGTACTACCAGACTGGCAATTAGGTCTCATTGTTTTACTGTTGAAATACCTAGATGTGACTGTATGTTCTATTCTAATAGTTTCTTTTACCGAATTTCTCGCATGTGGAACCCTTTTCTGGTTTCTTACTTCTCCGTCACCTACACCCTTGAAAGAAATTTAAATAAAAAAAATAAATATAAATGTTAAGTATAAAAATAAAGCAAAATAACTAAGGTGGAATAGTAAAGGGCTCATTTCTCATACCAATCCTAGCGCTGTGCGCTCAAAATTTAATAGTGACCTATATGTTCAGCCTATCAGCTTTAAAAGCTGAGTATTTTTCAGAGGTGAAACATATCGATTATGAGGGCTGACTTTTCAGGTTGTGAGGAATTTTCTACTGAGAATATTGAGGTAAAAATTGGCTTGTTACTTTCGGTAATTAAAAAAAAGAAAACTTTTTTTTTAACTTTTACTACCTCAAAAACAAAGTTTATATCGTTTCATAATCTGCGATCCCAACCTAGTTTTTCAGCAGTCACGACGAATTGTTGCACTCACTATGACTGTCTACTGACTCTCGAGAATACTCCAAATTTCTAGTGGAACTCCTATAGTGAGCCCATCTTTAAAGTTGTTGGTGAAATTGTCGGCTCATTCTGTTACTCCTGGAAGTACCTGATGCCTTCTTCTATGCTTTAACTTACCAAGAAAAAGTTTGGACCAAAAAAAGGGTTATTGGTTCCATATTTGGATGGGAGCTGCTTATTCTTCAACTTTTAGCCCTGGCAGGGTACAAAATCGTTTATGCTTTCTTCTGAGGGAAATACTTACTCTCCACACTGCAACATCTTTTCCTCAGATACAACGTTGCAAGCATTTCGCTACTCCATCGTTATTTCCATGGCAACTGTTCAAATAAGTTCCATTCTTTAGTTCCACCAGTTCAGACATTTGCAAATAGGACACACCCTGTTAGTTCCATATCAGGAGAATCCCTGACAACCGAACTAAGAAGGCCTTCCAGATATGAGGAATTGGTCACAAAGACCGGATATGATATTATATTTAGATTAAAATAAATGAACTGAAAGCCAGGTTCAACATTTGTTTAATGTTTTATAGTAAACAAAATAAGTTAATGGTGAGTGAAATATAACAGAATTGATTTTAAGAAAAAAGAAATAAGTTATGTAATGTTAATGAAAATTCATTAAATTAAGTATGTCACGTATGCATAACAAATAATGTAACGAGGTTTTTTTTAATTGCTGCTGCATGATGATTCTTTCGCTTCTAATGTCATTCTCAACTTTCTGCGAATTTCGCATTGCTTTTGATCTTGAAATTTTTTAATCGAAAGACACTTTTTAACTCTACAATCGTCATAGCTGAATGCTGGCTTTCTTTCCATAAAACTGAGAACGTTTTCAATAGCTTTTTCAATTTCAGTCCAGGTTTGATCACAATTATGTTTTTTCCTTTTATTTCCTTGTTCATTTTAACAGTGAGAACGCTGGAGAATAGTTTCTTTGGAAGATTTTATATCATACGATGTTGAACTCAGCCATTAGTTACAATTAAACTTTCACCAGCGTCTAATCAGATTAAAATTTCCACTTCTTGGGATAACCCAAAAATTGTTCTTTTCCTCTTATTCTCTTCATCTATTGCACCAATACAAGACATTAAGTGTGAAATATACATAAGCACTTATCCAAAGTAAATTTCTTGAAAAAAGAGTAATTTCAGATCAATTACATATCACCCAAATAGTTCAAATATACGCATCAAAATCATGCCCGGATATTCCGGATTCCGGGTATGAGGCACTCTGGATATGAGGGATTCCGGAAATGATGGATTCTACTGTAATCGAAAATTTGTACTATGAATTTAAAGAGAAACGACTCAGAATAAGAATTCGGAGAGCCGAGTTCGAATGCCAGTCGATTTCGTTTTCATTCACCCACGCGCAAATACTCTTGGGACCAGTATGAATACATCTAATCTCCTAGCTATGGGTAAAATAATTAGATCTGTGTCGGAAAATTATTATTCTCAAATCATTCTTAACGTACTATTCACTAGCAAAAAGAATTATTCTCACACTCCAAAATATGTTTCGGCTTTAAATCACCTACAATGGGTTGATAATCCGTAAAAAATCAAATCAGTCAAACAAACGCGAATATTACAACGTTAACGTCTAAAAATCATTTATCGCTCGTGTTCCTCCTGAAACAAGCACTCTTCACCTCCTACCACGTCTTCTTGCATTCGAATTACACACATCAGCCATTTTAATAATTTTTACAGTAAAACTCTATTTTGACTGGTTCACGAGCCTTCTATTGTGTGAACTTCAGTAACAACAAAAATGAAGCAATACACTCGCACATTTCACACCTCCACAACCTCTGTAAAATAAAAGCTGAAGTAGATGAAAGAAAACACGTCACAAATTTACGATGTCTCATAAGGATAATAAAATATATTTTCTTTTGTCGGATAAAATCTGACAAATTGGATGGTCTTCAACCTACTGTCACAGTTGCGCTTGACCTCCAACATTAAAGATGGCCTCATCTTTACAGTCCGTAAGAATAATTGCCGATGATATTTTTATTTATACCCATTAATTCTTTCTTTAATCTTTTCCTCACACTTTTTTTTCATGTCTCTCGTTATGCTACTTGTCAGTTTTTCTTTCTTTCTATTCGACTAAGTTCATATCTATCACTTCTTTAAATTGATCCCAATCCTCTCATAATCACCGACATCAAATCTATTCATATCACCCCGACTGTTTTCGTCCTATTCTTTCATTCTGTCAATAAAGAGCCTTTTTATATACACACACACACACACACATATATATATATATATATATATATATATATATATATATATATATATATATATATATATATATATATATATCATACCTCGTCGATTTACGCATCTTTCTTATTTATCTCTTTATGTCTGTAGTGTTTCATCACTCAAATCCTCATGTCGCCTTTTATGTTTTTTTTGTTTGTTTTTTTTGTTACATTGTAATATACTCTTATCAATTATTTATTTCATTCAGTCTGGTCCTTTCGTCTTTCTTTCTTTCTTTCCTCCTTTCTTTCTTTCTTTCTGTCTTTCTTTCTTTCTTTCTTTCTTTCTTTCTTTCTTTCTTTCTGTCTTATTTCTTGATTGATTTGTTCGTTTTTGTTGTTGTTTATTAACCCTCCTGCTTCTTTCCTCCTAATGTGTGTGTGTGTGTGTGATTTTTTTTTGTTTTTTTTTTTTACCACCGACATGTTATTATATCCGCCATGTCATCATTTATTTATTTGTTTCTTTGTTACTTTTGATATAGATTTTTCTTTATTCTTTATTGTTTCTTTCATCAAAGTGTTCCCTTATCCTTATTCTTATGACACTCAATCTAGTCCTTTCTTTCTTTCTTTCTTTCTTTCTTTCTTTCTGTCTTTCGTTCTTTCTTTCTTTCTTTCTTCCTTTCCTTCTGTCTGACGTTCTTTCTTTCTTTCTTTCTTTCTTTCTTTCTTTCTTTCTTTCTTTCTAGGTTTCTTTCTTTCTTTCTTTCTTTCTGTCTGTCTGTCTTTCTTTCTTTCTTTCTTTCTTTCTTTCTTTCTTTTCTTTCTTTCTTTCTTTCTGTCTGTCTTTCTTTCTTTCTTTCTTTCTTTCTTGCTTTCTTTCTTTCTTTCGTTCTGTCTTTCTTTCTTTCTTGCTTTCTTTCTTTGTTTCTTTCTTTTTTATTCTGTCTGTCTGTCTTTCTTTCTTTCTTTCTGTCTGTCTGTCTTTCTGTCTTTCTTTCTTTCTGTCTTTCTTTCTTTCTTTCTTTCCTTCTGTATTTCTTTCTTTCTTTCCTTCTGTCTGTCTTTCTTTCTTTTCTTCTGTCTTTCTTTCTTTCTTTCTTTCTTTCTTTCTTTCTTTCTTTCTTTCTTTCGTTCTGTCTTTCTTTCTTGCTTTCTTTCTTTTTTTATTCTGTCTGTCTTTCTTTCTTTCTTTCTTTCTTTCTTTCCTTCTGTCTTTCTTTCTTTCTGTCTGTCTGTCTTTCTTTCTTTCTTTTTGTCTGTCTGCCTTTCGCTATTTCCTCCTTTTTTTCTTTTTCCCCTCTTTCTGCCGCTACTTCCCTATATTTTGGTCGTAACATTTTTATTTTTTATTTTTACTTTCTGTCTTTTTTCATTCTTTCTTTCTTTTCCTATTTCCTCTTTTTTCTCTATTCTCCTCCTTTCTGTCGCTATTTCCCCATATTTGGAGCGTATCATTTCTTTCTTTTTTTTCTTCTTTTTTTCTTTTTTTCTTTCTTTCTTTTTACTTTCTTTCACCGAAATGTTCATATACCTTAATTAATCTTGTCCATTTTTCTTTCTTTCATTTTTATAATTTGTCTATTATTTCATATTAATTAATTATTTATTCACTTCTGTATATTTCATCATTTTAATCTTCACGTTTCTTTCTTTTATTTTTACTTCCTGTTGTTCTCTTCGTTTTTCTTAAATCTGTTTCTTAATCTTTGTCTCACTTAATCTATCCTTTCTTTGTTTCTTTCTTTCGTCTTTTCTTTCTGTCATTTTACTTTCTTTCTTTCAGCGAAATGTTCAAATACTTTTATTAGTCTTGTCCTTCTTATTTCTTTCTCTCTTTCCTTTTTATTTATTCAGTCATATTTATTTATTTTTATTTTTTTCTATTTTTCTTCATCATTCAAATCTTCACACGTCACTTTTTTCTTATTTATTTATTCATTTATTTATTTCCCTCATTTAATATTTTCATCCGTTTATTCATAAGCCACCTTTATTCATTTATTTATTCATTCATTCATTTCTTTGTTTCTTTCCTTCGTTATAATATTCTCATAATCTTACTCATAAATAACCTTTATTATTTATTTATTCATTCGCCGCTTTCTTAATTTCCTTCATTTTAACATTCACGTAATTTTATACATAAATCACCTTCATTATTTATATACTTATTCATTCATTTCTTTCTTTCCTTCATTTTAATATTCTCATGCGTTTATACATAATAAAAATTATTATTCATTCATTTCATTCTTTCTTTCTTTCTTTCTTTCTTTTGTTCCCTCATTTTAATATTCTCATGCGTTTATACATAAAAAATTTTATTTTTCATTTTTTCATTCATTCATTTCTTTCTTTTTTTTCTTTCTTTCTTTCTATCTTTCGTTCTCTCATTTTAATATTCCCATGCGTTTATACATTAAAAATAACTCCTTCTGTGCTTTGTACTAGTCATAGTTTTTTGACACATGATCAGAAGTAATTCACTCGTCCCTACTTTAAATCAGACGAGACTTTTGGATTAATGAGCGTGAGAAAAACAATCCAAACTTCTTGTTATGGATCCACCTGGACTTAAAGAAAAATGGATCCTAGTGCCACGCCCCGGTTGATGACGTGTTTGACCCTCTTTTTCTGTTGATGCAGAACCGGGATTGGAGTGTGAAGTGCTGTTGTTAATGCTCAGGGCTCTTTTTTTCATGGTCTGTAGGTGTTGGTGTGGACACCTCAGCATGGTCATTTCTTTCTTTCGTGTTTTCTTAAGCTAATGTTTCTCTCAATATTTCTATTTCTATATAGAAAGTAAAAATGTTTCATAATTGCAAAGGTTTACTCAGCAGATACCTCGTTGTAATACAGTGGGTAGAAAACAAGTTTCTCAAATCAAGTACAACTGCAAAACACATCACATTGTCTATTACATGATATGTAACCGTGATGCAATAGCAAATCTATGCATTGTAAATAACTACAACAGACTGTTCCTTTCAGTTTTCTTTCATCCAGCTCTCCTCCTATATCAGTTCATATCAATCACAATCTGCAAGAGTCTTTCGCTCAATGCAAATTCATAGTATCACTGTTCCAAGCACTCTAGGTCAGTTTGCTTCTTTTCAGAGAGGGAGAGAACAGGGAATAGAGAAGAGGGAAAGAGAGAGAGAGAGAAGGAGAGATATGCAATGTGATTGGCCCTGATCTGGGATCTCGTTTACAGTCGCTCTCTCACAGACCTACCGTCGCCTCCCTCTGTCTTTTCTACAAATACTTTCACGGTAACTGCTCCGACGAGCTACTTTCGCTAGTTCCCAAAGTGCATTAAATAAAAGGGTTCAGTTTGGAATTCCTTCTGGGTTACCTGGAAATATATACACCTGATGATGACCGTAGGGCACAACGGCTGAAACGTTGGGATTGTAACAACAAAGATGAGGACAATAGTCCGAATGTAAATAGTGTAAATATACAATTTAAATATTTATTTCATGCTCTTAATCGAAGCTAATCATGCGTCTCTGCATATCAATATAAATACATACGGTCTACACCATTAACTGAGATCGTTTAAGTATCTGTTCATATGACTTTATCTGCATATAGCTTTCCTTCACTCGACTTGCATCATGTGCCTGTTCATATCAATATAAATCTGTACCTTTCTTTTCTATACCTGTTTATATCAATTGTAATTTGTACTTATGCTTCTTTCAAGTAAGCCTAATCATGTCTGTTTCTTTTAATATCAATGTTATATTCCGTGCTAATAGGAATATATACTTGAAAAACAATGTGGATAATATAAGTAAAGGTTTATTGTTAAAAAAAAACAGTTCAATAATAATAAAGGTAACAGTTGTGCACAAGTTCGTCCCAAATCAATCCAGTAATGAGTGCTACCATTGGAAGGTAGGTAGTTCTCGCGCAAGTCTGACTCGTAATCAACAGATCCCAGCAAGTCGGTAATTATCTGCCTCTCCACAAAGGAAGGATGTGGCACAAGGCCGAGTTTAACGTGGGGCAATCTGAGCCCGTAGGCTCGGCCAAAATTTCCCCGTAAACCCCGCATAAACGGGTTCGGGTCTGTCTACCTCCCCGGACGAGATTCTGTCCTTCAGCATAGCCTCGTCCGGGTTCCTCCTTGCCCGAAGGCAGAGAGTTCTACAGCAGCCAAGATCTGAATAAGAGATCCCAGCAAGAATATTTAGCTACCTCCCCGCGAGGGTTGCATGTGGCACAAGGCTGGTTTAACGCGGGTGCTCCGATCCCGTAGGCTCAGCCCAAAATATTCCCTTTCGAACCCGTATAAACGGATTCAGGGGCAGTCTATCGCCCCGAACGAGACTCTGCCCTTCGGCGGAGCCTCGTCAGGGTTCCTCTCTCCTATGGCAGAGAGTTCGACTGTTTAGATGGAACAAGTCTTTGTAGTCCATTGACTTACAGATACTTATAGACAGTCACTCATGGTGGTGATAGGTTATTCCATTACATCAATCAATCATACTATAAATCTGGTCATCGCCATCAAATATGAAAGTCCACTTCTCTTAATCTAATCTTATTTTCCTAGACATATTAATCACAAACTCTGCGGATATCGTTCTTTTAAAATGTCTCCTACGTTTGTTCATTCTTCTTTATGACGTGTTGGCAATGATGGCTCTCCACAATTTCCTGTCCCTTGTAGCAGTTAATAAACTTTGTCTTTTTGTTATCTACCCTATACCTCGTTCCACCATCCATTACCTGAAGCACGCTACGTAGATTATGCGTTGTTGTCCTCAGTGCTATTGCTTTCAAACTGTCCTGTGAGTATCAAAGTTTCGAAGCCCTCTTTCCTCATTATGCGCCCTAGGAATTTCAACAATAGTAGAATCCCTCATCTCCGGAATCTCTCATATCCAGAATCCCTCATATCCGGAGTGACTCATATCCGGAATCCCGCATATCCGGACATGATTTTGATGTGAATATTTGAACTATTTGTGTTATAATGTAACTGATTTGAAATTTCTGTTTTTCAGTAAATTTTCTTTGGATAATTGCTTATAGCTTATTTCACCCTTAATGTTTTGTATTGTTGCAAAAGATGATGGGAATAAGAGGAAAAGAACAATTTCGGAGTTATCGCAAAACGTGGCAATTTTAAACAGACTAGACTCTGGTGAAAGTTCATTGTAACTAATGGTTAGGATAGTCAACAGTGTATGATATAAAATCTTCCAAAGAAACTATTCTCCAGCGTTCACACTGTCATAATGAACAAGGAAATAAAATAAAAACATGATTGTGATGAAACTTGGCCTGAAATTGAAAAAGCTATTGAAAAGTTTGTCAGTTTTACGAAAAGAAAGCCAGTTATGACGATTGCAATAACGCACGCAAAACATTGAAAATAAATGTTAATCCTGATTTCAGTTCTTTTATTTTAATTTAAATATAACCTCTTATATCCGTGACTAAAACCTCATATCCGGAAGGCCTTCTTAGTCAGGGATTTTACTGTATCTCTTCCTGATATTAAGTATAAATTTACTTTTTGTTTCCATTTTCGCTAAGACTTTATCGTTGCTCACATTCTCTGTCCATGATATTCTCAACATCCTTCTGTAGAACCACATCTCTGTTGCGTCAGGAAATTACCCAGCATTCACTGTGTTGTAACGTAGGGAAAGTTACTGAATAGAATAAACAACGAGCGTTGGTAATGTACGATAATACTTAGGACAAGAACAACACATATAAGATTCGCCAGCGGCGCATAAAATTAGTCAATTGATGGAAGTGAGTCAAGTGAATTCCACAGTGAATTCCACAATGAATCTCCAACTTTAGGATATCTACCAACCGCCCCACGCAAACAGATGTGGCACAATGCCGAATTTAATGTGGGGTATTCAAGCCCGTAGGCTCGGCCAAAAATTCCCCGTAGACCACGTATAAAACTTGGTCGAGTAGCTGTTTTCCAAGATGAGTATCTGCCCTTGGACATAGCCTCGTTTAGGGACCGCTCTACCGGGAGGCAGAAAGTTTGGCCAGCACAGCTGGAGAGAAATCCCCAACTGTAGGATATCTACCAACCGCCCCACGCAATCAGATGCAGCACAAGGCCGATTTTAATGTGGGGTATCCGAGGCAAAAATTCCCTGTAGACCCCGTATAAAACTGGGTCGGTTATCTGTTTCTCGAGATGAGACTCTGTTCTTGGACATAGCCTCGTCTAGGAACCGTTCTACCCGGAGGCTGAGAGTTTGACCAGCACAGCTGGAGACGAATCTCCGACTGTAGGCGAACATACAGTATTTACTATTGTATTTATGTGAATTGGGGACATTTTTGTCCGTAGGTATGCTACAATATGCGAAAATATATCAGCCGAACGTTAGCAGCTGGGGACGAATCTCCAACTCTAGATCACGTACCGTATTCACTACTGTATTTACAGTAATGGGGGCATACCCATTATCGTCCGTAGGTATGCTAAAACACACTAACATATAGAACGACTGATATAACATAACAGTTCAATATTCATTTCTTTTCTTTTTTTCTAACGAAAATATTCTGTTTCTTAATACTTTGCTTAACTTTTGAAAGTCATCTTTAGCTATCCCAGTGTGCCTTCGGATTTCAGTGTCACATTTTCCATCCTCTGTTCAAAGATTTCTCAGATATTTAAATTATTGTATGTACTTGATTTTGGTATCTCCAATTTGTAGTTTGCCTGTTGGGGCGTTCCTTTCGTTACCAACCATGCATTTTATCTTCTTGCAATTGATGTTTAATCTTTTCTGTTCACTTTTCTTCACTCTAAATTCGGTACGTTTCTTTCTCTTAGACTTCTTAAAATTCCTAGTCGTTTCAGTGTTAATGTGTATGCAACGTTTCCAGACAAATCTCATCCTGGATTTGTTCATATCATTCTAAATCTACCGTCTTCACTTTAATCGGGTTTGTTTTCTTCTTGACCATATCAATCTGTAGGGACAAAAAAGACGATTATCACCCTTCAGTCACGATGAAGTCACGTGACGACCATTTAGCGACGTCACTTTATAGAGTGGCGCAACTGGCCAGTCTGTGAGTTAACTGCCTGGTGTAAAGACACGAGTTG